GGCACACATGTGCCCGTGCATTGTTCACCTGATTTGACGTCGCCTGGCGTACAAAAGCAAACCCACAACCATTCGTACTTCGCACCACTGCACGTCCACGAACAACGGCATCCGATAAGACTCCATACAAACAGACGAGCGACTACGCAGCTGATGCGACACAGATGGCTGGGCACAAGTACGCACGCACGCACACGTACATTTTTTCGTCGGCGGCGGAGCAGATGGTCTGCGACAACGTCCCGGAACGTGGTTTTCGCACGTTGCGAAGTGTCTGCAATTCAACACATGGGAACTCCGCCACCGTGACTCTTGGCACAGAGTGAGCGTGTCCGAAAGTCCTCTGCCTCATCCCCTGAGCATCAGTCCTCATACACGAAGACTCTTTTAGGGTACCAGAGCCGTCCCAAGATGTGCCCAAAGGGCCCCAAGAGGCCCCAAGACGCCCCAAAGATGCCCCAAAGACGCCCCAGAGGCCCCACATCGCTTTGGACAACCCGCGCCGCAATGAATCACAAAGTGACTGCATCGATGAATCCATGAATCAATGAATCAGTGCATCAACGAATCAATGAACCAATGAATCAATAGACCGTGAGTCCATGAATCACTGAATCAATCAATCAATGCGTCAATGAACCAATGTGTCCCATTTCGCTGGGCCTTACAATGTCCTCGACGAACCCGAGCAAGCATCAAATGACGTTCGCATTGTGCCACTGGCCTGCTGCCAATCTTTTCCATATGCGGATGATGCCGAGCCACTCGCTGCCTCTGAACGTGTCGGAATCATTGAAACAATGAATCCACGCACCAATGAATCAATGAATCAATGAATCAATGAGTCCATGAGTCAATAGACCGTGACTCAAAAACCACTGAATCAATCAGTCAATGAGTCAATGAACCAATGTGTCGCGTTTCGCTGAGCCTCACCATGTCCTCGACGAACCCGAGCGAACGTCAAATGACGTTCGCCTTGTGCCACTGGCCTGCTGCTCATCTTTTACATGTGCGGATGCTGCCAAGCCACTCGCTGCCTCTGAGCGTGTCGGAATCAATGACTGAACGCACCAATGAATCTATGAATCAAGGAAGCAACGAATCAATGAGTCAAGAGACCTACCGATCTCTGTTCAATCGGAATTCGTGTTCCAACGCACCGGTACTCCAGGGCACTGCGAAAGCTATGTCGATTGCGCTTGCACCTTTGCCCTTTGACGGCCCTGGGTCCCGCAAGAACCCCCCCCCAGAGGCTCACGAATGTCAGTATTCATAGTTGCACGACGTTGGAAAATTAGGCCCCGGGCTCGAAAATAAATCGGCCCCCGACCCTGTCCTGGAGCGCGTTTCGGTCACGCCCTCTCTCTCTCTCTCTCCCTCTCTCTCCAAACCCTCTGCGTCCATGCATACGTGGCGGCATGCACAAAAACGGGTTCTCCCAGCGATCAAAACTCACGTGTTTGCCAGAGTTTGCCACATGAGACGCTCGCCACAACGTCTTGCGATTAGGAATCGCCAGTGGTCCGAACGCCTACGACGCCGAATGCCAAAGAAAAATGCACGCAGAGATGGCCTGTGGGACTGGTGCGGGCCCTCTGCTCACCATCCTGCCCCCCTCACAACCCAACCAAAAGACAAAGTCCGAACCCACAGTGAAGACGACACCGAAGTACTGATGCAAGACCCTTGGCTTTCGAAAGTGGTCATCGAGAGGCGCCCATTGGCCAGAAACTGCCACAAGATAATGCAAGGGCGCCGTTGAAGAAGCCCTGGGTGGAGCTCCCACCCTCCCCCTCCCCCCCAGTGCAGCGCTGCAGCCGCCGGCCATCGCTGGCGGCGCGGCGCCGACGCGAAGCCAGACGCGCTGCCCTCAGCAAAAAGCTCTCGGCGAAGTCCCTCACTTCGGCCCCCCTGCTGTTCCATCCCTCCCCCCTGGCTCCTCTCTCCTTTTCACCCCCTCGTACATTTGCCGAACATCGTCAACAGAAGCACGAAACATCGTCAACAGAAGCACGAAACATCGTCCACATACCGATTCTGACTATTCTTGAATAGCTCTCCCGAGGGACATGCCCGACTTAACCCTACAGGTAAGATGTTGCTAAAAATGCCCCTGGCGCAAGGTGCCGCCAGGAGTTCTCAGGCCTCCCACGGCCTCCAGAGCACCCCACCACAAGGCTCAGAGGGCCCCAGGGGGGCCCTCAGATTGAGCGAAAAGCTAGGGGGGTCTTGGGCCAGGGGCACCTTTAGCCACCCCCGGACAGGGCGCAACAAGGGCGAGGCAGGAACTGCCGACCCACTGAGCGGCGGAGTGTTAAAAAAAACAGTCGCAAACTGTTCCGAGCGGGCTGGCGGCACAGCTAGGGGAAGGAACAGTGGCATAAACATAAACACTCAGAGATCCGCGCGGATTTCTCGGATCCGCGCTGGACCCCCCTCCCTGGCGCGCGGAACGCGCCAGGAGCGGGACCGGAGGCGCCGCCAAGGGGGTCCAGCGCGGATCCGAGAAATCCGCGCGGACATCCGAGTTTTTATGTTTGTGTCATTTTTCGTTCCCCTAATAGCGGTTGCCAGGGAGCAGAGGAAAAAGTAGCAGCACGAGCATGCGCTGTCGTACGCCCGCACGGATCTCTCGGATCGGTGTGCTGACCCCCCCTCCCTGGGTCGGGGTGACCCAAATTCGGGGTCCAGCTGCAATAGATCTGGGGCAATTGTATTGCAAATGTACTGCGCCGGAGAACTGCATTGCACGCGAAAATACAGCAATACAACCTCTGCGCCCCGAAATGTATTGCACGCCCCAAAATGTATTGCAACCCCACAAATCTATTGCACCAAATCTATTGCACCACCCCCTTGTCGCTGGACCCCCTTTTGGGTCAACCCGACTGGGGCGTGGAGCCGCGCCCCAGGGGGTGGCGCCAGAGGCGCAGCCGAGGGGGTCCGGCGCCTGACCGAGGACACTCAGCGCAGAACTCCGAACATCGAGGAGGAGGAGGAGGAGGAGGAGGAGGAGGAGGAGGAGGAGGAGGAGGAGGAGGAGGAGAAGGAGGAGGAGGAGGAGGGAGGAGGAGGAGGAGGAGGAGGAGGAGGGAGGAGGAGGAGGAGGAGGAGGAGGAGGAGGAGGAGAAGGGATGCCAGTGCAGCTCTTTGTTCCTCTACAATGCGAGGAGCCAAGGTGGGAGCGGGGGGCTCCTGCCGATGGTCCTCCGGGGTGCGTGTCAACCGGACGCCCCTCAAGACGACGCGGGGGGTGCCAAGGCTGGCAGACGCGGGTTGCGTGCCACGAGGAGAGCTGAACTGGAAGGACACAAAGATACCGATGCCGCTGCTCCCAAAACTCTCCCAGGATGCGTTCTGACAACAGTGCCGGGGGGAAGCCGCCCGTGGCGACGAAGGCTCTCCAGGACTAGCGGCGTCATCGTTATCTCCGCCTCCTATAAGCACGGTAAGCACACATTCGGCTACAGTCAGACTTGGTTGGACTGGACACCCACCAGACTCTTCCGACGGCAGCGTGGCCCCAGAGCACCGAAGGAGATGCGGGTTGCATCATGAGGTCGTGATCGACAGGACAAGCTACCCTCGATTTGGCATGATCGACCTACCAATCAGGGCCGACTGTAACCCAAACATCCGACGCCGTGATTCGTTCTCAACGTCGCTCCCATCGGTCTGTGCCCCTTCCTGGGGACCCCTAAATGGTCTCGACCCATGCCGCGGGACCGGTTTTTCCAAAAGGCCTCCAGGAACCAAAAATAGCGAAAAACTCACCGTCGCGATTTCTTCATGACTCGAGGGGGTCTCGGAGACGGATAACCCAAGCATCCGACGTCACGATTTGTTCTCAACGTGGCTCCCCAACGGTCTATGCCCTTCCCGGAGGCCCCCAGAGGTCTCGACCCATGCCCCGGGACCGGATTTTCCAAAGGGCCCCCAGGGGCCGAAAATGTAGAGAAACCCTCCGTCGCGATTTCTTCATGTCTCCAGGGGCCTCGGAGCCGGATAACCCGAACATCCGACGTCGCGATTCGCTCTCAACGTGGCTCCCCAGCGGTTTGCGCCCCTTCACGGGACCTCCCTAGAGGTCTGGACCCATGCTCCGGGGCCGGAGGTTCCAAAAGGCCCCCAGGGGCCGAAAATACATAGAGAAACCCTCGGTCGCGATTGCATGACTCGAGGGGGTCTCGGACTCGGATAACCCAGACATCCGACGCCGCGATTCGTTCTCAACGCGGCTCCCCAGCTCCCAAGCGGTCTGCGCCCCTTCCCGGGGCTCCCCAGAAACCTCGACCCATCCCCCCCGTCCGGTTCGTCAAAAAGCACCCAGGGGCCAAGAAAAGCGACAGACCCTCCGTCGCGATTTCTTCGTGACTCAAGGGGTTCTGCAATCCAGGGAATCCAAAACGCGACGTCCCCAGACGTGCCGCCCTTCCCCCTTCGCCCCCTCCTCCTCCTCCCCCACCTCCTCCGTTTTCTTTTCCTCCCCCTCCTGCTTCCCTTTCCCTCTCCTTTTCTCGCCATTGCACTGTCGCCCCTCTACACTGCGACCGCCCCCTTTCCCCCCCTTCCTTCAAAACACACACACACACAGACACACACACACACACACACTCTTTTTCCCTCCCACGTCGAGAAACACAACTGTCGCAATAGCCACGCTTTCTTCAAGGCCCCCGCAGGGGCATCCACGGGCAACGAGCCCCCACAAACGCGCCAGGCACACCCCAGGGCAGCAAAACCTGGAACCCCGTGGAACCAACGATTCCCCCGCCACCCCCACAGACGGTCGCCACGAATCGACACGAACCTGTTCCACCGGGGCATCTTCACCACAAAAGGCCGAACGCAACGACTCAACAAAAAAAACAGCCCCCGCTCCCTGCAGCTCCGCACTGCCGACGACCTCTCATCCAGTCGACCGCGGTGCGCAATACTGGGCGAGCAAAAAGCGAGGACAATCTTAGGGATGCGCCCTCAGAAACTGAGGGAACCATTCAGATCGGCATCGTGATGAGGAGATGCCCAGCATAGGGATAGGGATATGTTCCAGGCTGGTAAGGATTGGCTCGAGGCACGCACGCAGAGTCTGGCCTGGCCTGCGAGGGAGCACGTCCGCACGGCGGCCTCCGCGGCCCCCTCGGGCTCGGCGGCGCGCCAGACGGGGGGGCCGCGGGGGAGAGACGGGAAGGGACGGCTGCTCACAGGGAGGGGCTGCTCCTCAGAGGGCGCGGGCGCTGCATCTGCAGGCCAGGCCCGCGCCTCTCCAGAGAGGCGGGGTGCTCCTGCGGAGCCTTCCCCCCTCGCCCGCGGACCCCCCTCCGGCGCACGGCCGACGGCGAAGGACTCGGGCTGCGGGCCGCCAGAGGGCCCGTGCACCGAGTCTTGCGCCGAACTCCGTGGCTCCCTGGCTGGCCGGACGACGTGGTGTGTGCACCGAGCCGCTCCCGGGCGCCTCCTCGGGGCTGCGCGGCGCCGCCGCCCCCTTGCCTTCGGGCTTGGCAGCCGGCCAGAATGCGGCCTGCTCCACCTTCGGGGATGGACAGACCCCCCTTTAGTAAAACGTGGTTTAATGAAAACGACCTGAGGCCCAAACCTGGCGGGCGCAAGCCTCGAAAATAACGGCCACGGCGCCCTCTCGAGAACCGAAAACGGACAATTCACTAATCGACGTGTCACTGTTGGGGGTTCTGTCCACCCCCGACACCTCCGAGATCGGCTGTCGGCCTCTCACAGCGCACTGCTTGAGGTCGAAGAGGGAGACTTTCGGACTGCCGTCCGAGACCGCGCCCTGTTCGCTGCTGCGCAAGCGAGCCACGTGGCGCTGCAGAGCCATCCCGCGGATACTGTAGATCCGTCGAGCGGAAGGGGGACTGCTTAAGCCGTACAAAACTGAGGAGGGAAGGATGATCTCTGACGAGGGAGAACGAGGGGATCAGGAGAAGGGAGGAGGGAAGGAGCAGGGAGGGAGGGAGGGAGGAAGTAGTGAGAGACAAGTGAGCCTTTTTTCCTCAAGTGGAGCTTGGCTCAAGATTGGCTCAGAGGACTCAAGGCGCTCAAGGCGCTCAAGCAGATCATTTTCGCAGAGAACATTCGTGACAAGTTCGTGCCCTCCTACTCTTTTGAGCCACACCTCGACTCGCTTCACATAGATTCACTCCCATCTTCGTGTTTCTTCGATGGCCATGGCTTTCAGGTGCGGTTCCAGCGCCTACTTGACTTGACTACCAAACCCGCTCGAAGGTGACCTGGCACACCATTGGGAGGGGAGAGAGACGTGGGGCAGCGTCTCCACAGCCCCCTGCACGAGATGGACGAGCTCGATGAGGCCTCACCTCCCCGTCCGGAGGTGCATTCCATGGCGTCGCCGACTATTCTAGGGGAAGCGTCTTCAAGTATCATCACATCGAGGCGATCACCAGCGCCATGGAGAACATGAGCGATAAGAAGTTCAAAGAGAGGCCTGACCCTGTCACGAAGCATGTCAACATTATCAACAAGAGGGGTGGCAAGATGAAACTGAACGTGAATGACAGCATGGACGAGATGAAGGTGCGCGTGGACAATTTCGAACAGTCTGGCGGATCACACGGCATCAACGGAAGGACCCGGGAGACACGCAACCAGATCCAGAACTTGAGCCAGCACGTCGACCAGATAAGGATGTGCTTCGATGGAAGGGGCAGTGCTTCACAATCTTTGAACAGCACACCGCGAACAACAAACCTGATGAGCAAAACGTTACTGCTGTGGCCAGTGGCCTCGACGACATGCTGGAGGATGCCAAGGAGTGGATAATCAATCAATCATTGGAGCTGGGGTAGCTACGCCTACGGACGTGCATTCAGCTCGTAGGGTGGGTCTACGACAGGAATTGCGCGCGGGTGGGTATCACGCGATAACCCTTGTACTTCGGGGGCGAGGGAGTCACCAGCACAGGATCTAAGCTCTCGGATCTGATTGCTGATTTGGGGGAGGGGTGGGCTGAGTTTGTTCTTAAGGCCGCTGTCGGCAATCATGCGACGGCTCGGTGGCGCACCAGCGCCCTTGCTTCAGTGGCGCATGGTGCTGCAGTTGCTGGAGTCAGTGGTGTTGCTCTTCTTGAGTTGCGCACTCTTTTTGCACACATCTAGAATGGCGCTTTATCAAGTCGGTCGAGCACCGGTAGCACGGCCTACCTCATTAGACGCAGGAGCGAGCATTGCGACCCTATACATCAAATATGCGGAATGGGTTGGGGACGCTCGGCTCGAGAACAACAGGCTAGACCCTGGAAACGTGTTCGACCTCAGAGTACAAGCCCTGCCGATTTCAAAATGTTCCTCATCCATGGGATCCAGCGGTGGCAGCGCGAGCGTTTCAACATTTTTACACAGCGCAGACTGGTGATCAGGTATGGCACGGGGTTGTGCAACTCGCTGGCCAGTATCAAGTGCGTGCGTTGGCTTGGAGCGCTGCAGGCGCACTTGGACGGCAACCTCCCAATCCCACAGCTCCGTGCCGCTTGTGGGGCTCGGTCGACGGGATGCCGGGGACATGTACATTACGATTGCCCTGAATGAGTGGACCACTACTTGGACATCCTGAACATCCTAGAGGACCTCGGGACCGTCAGAGACATGCTGATGAAATGAGGGACGTTTCAAGCTGCTGGACTGTCTTGGGATCAGACTCATTTCTTCGAGGTCCTGGAGCCTTCTCGGGGCCTGCTTGAACTGAACACCATCAGCAAGAACGCTCTCAAATGGGCGACACTGATTGAACCTGAGGGCCAAAGAACTTCACGGATGGATCGGAGTACGCGTCTAGTGTTCCAGAGATTCGCCGCTGTAGATACTCCTGCGTGCAACTCGACGAAAACTCCCTGTTGCCGATCCGTGCGATCTACCGACCTTTGCCCTAGTTATTATGTTCAAACGGTCGGCCGTGCTGAGAGACATGCCCTTTAGATGGGTCTGGGAGCGCATCCTGATCCAACAGTTGTTGTTTCGGATCTCCCAGAGCTCCTTGACGAAGGCACCTCGTGGTCCGCCGACTCTCCAGCAAGGCCGCGCCAAACACGCTCGCGCGTAACATACTTTCTTTCGAGCTGCTCGCCACCGTGCCGTCGAGCAACAGGTTCGGTTTGAATGAGCGCCAGCCCACCGCGAGCTTAACAGTGTGCTGGTCGACCCTCTTTGGATGGAGAGATGGCTCGGCAACACCTGGGCCGACTGCTTTGCCAAAGCGGGGGCCGCCCACCATCTCATTGCCAACGCGTTGAGCCAGTCGGTCCCTGATGCCCGTAAGATCCACGAGGCCACCCTCCAGTCCATCTCTGTGATTAGCAATAAGAGAACCCCTGCCCTCTGGGAGGGGACCTAAGTTAGGAGGGCTAGAAACATCAGGGTTACAGGGGTCTATTATGCAGATGTATCGGACCACACCGCCCAGATGTTGTACCCCTAATGCACAGACGACGGGAACCTAAGTGAGGCCACGTCTTCACTGCGTAATCAGGGTCAGGGGTTTTCTTACTCTCGATGGCCCTGAGCTCGTTTAAAGTCATCGTCTCGGTGGCAGGGGGCCGGGGGCCCCCGCCTATGCCTACCCCTTCCGTTGGGTTTCCACGGCGGGTCGTCTTAAGTCGTGAAGCTGATCGTGAGCTCTGGCAGTCGCAGCTGGAGGGAATGGGGATGCAGGGAATGCGGGGGGTTCGTTCGATCGGACCCGACCCCGGCACGGCTTCGCACCGGCCCGGGCAGGCGATGAGAGCCTTCCGCCATCCAGCGTGCTGCCAGTAACGAGCAGCTCCGTCTTTCAAGATTCGAGTGTGTAAGGTCGACGGACCCGCTCCTCGCCGCCTCGCTTGAAGAGGTCGACGCACTCCTCTCCTCCTCCTCCTCCTCCTCCTCCTCCTCCTCCTCCTCCTGGTCCTCCTCCCCCTCCTCCTCCTCCTCCTTCCTCCTCCTCCTCCTCCTCCTCCTCCTCCTCCTCCCCGGCCCCTCCCTCTCCCCCTCCCTCGCCTCCTCCTCCTCCTCCTCCTCCTCCTCCTCCTCCTGGGAGAGGGCCCGATGGAGGCCAAGGCCGTGCTTGTCCCCGACTCTGGGGCCCTTTCCTTGGGAGCTCGGGCCCGTCGGACCCTGGGATCCCAGGCTCTGATCGCCGAGGTCGCTTCGCTCGGAGATACTGCTTTCTTGGCCCGCGGAGTGCATTGCGGCCGCAAGTGTGCGGGGACCACCACGACCCAGACGGCTCATAGTGCCCGCGAACTCCGCGTGCTTTGGGCGGGGCTCGCGTCTGTGACGAGCACCCGGAAGCAACACATTGGCTATGGTCGACTGGGTATCTCGGGATACTTACCCGCGCCAGCAGCAGTGCCAGCCCCCCCCAGCCGAACTTGTTTGACTTGTCCTGGCTTAGGGCGCGAGATTTCCCTGGCCCCTGCCTCAGGTTTCCAGACCTTTCTCCGTCCCCTGTCCCCCGCCTTGCCTCTAGACTCTAGCTGCTGTGGGTAGCAGTCGTGCGCGATGGCTTGGGCTAATTGTGCAGCCCTCGGGCGAGTAGTGGCAGCTCCTACAGTGGCATGTGGACAATATCTGTAGACGCTCCTGCATTTGCAGGTGAATTGCACCGGCATCATTTGAGCAAGATTGCGCCGCCTGAGGGCGGCGAGTTTCAATGTTTGCTTTTTTGTTTGGCTTGCACCGCGGACGTGTCTTATCACATATTACAATCAACCAGAATAGTAAGGATGCGCGATGAGGATGCAAGGGCCTTGGACGCCCATTTCCAAGCTTTTCGAGCGGGGCGCGGCCAGCGAAAGCGGCGAAGAATGGACCGAGGAGGCAAGGACGCAAGGGTACCCTTGGGGAGATTTCCTATCATTACTATGCGGGTTGACTGTATCCTCGTCCTCCCACAGCCCTCCCCCAAACATTCCGATGCCTTGATCTGTACACTGACGGGATCAACCGAAGTCCCGACCGTTCAACCCAAGGGCATGCATCGCATCCCCTGTCCTTCGTCGACGGTCCTGGGGCTCTGCGGGGACCTCTGCGAACGCGTCTGGGCCTTCCCTTCTCTCTTCTCCTCCTCCTCCTCCTCTTCTTCCTCCTCCTCCTCGGCCTCCCCCTCCCTCGCCTCCTCCTCCTCCTCCTCCTCCTCCTCCTCCTCCTCCTCCTCCTCCTCCACCTCCTCTCTCGGGCGGGCTGGGGACTTGAATGGGGGGTGCAGAGGAAGGCCCCAAAAAGGGGCCCTGTGCGGCCCCTTCGGGAGCCAGCGGGGGCCCGAAAGTGGCCCCGAAGGCGCACTTCCCCCCCCCGTGCGGGCCATCCCCCCCTGGCCACACGCCCGACTCTCCGCCTCCTCTCTTGACGTCCCGCCGCGCGCCCCGGTCTCGGCGACGCCCCGCCAGCCCGCGCGCCTGCCAGGCGACCGGCGGCGGCAAGGCCGGCGGCGGGGTGCTGCGCGGCATCTGCCGGGTGAGCGTCGCCCGGAAGGCCAGCTTGATGAAGGGCACAAACCTGCGGCGGCGGCGGCGCAGAGGGGGGGGCAGGCGGAGAGGGGGCAACACTTCCTACCAGAAAGCTCCTTCTCAGAAGGCGCCGGCCTCGCACCCACGGGTCAGGGCCCGCGCCCTCTGAGAAGCAGGGGCGCTTCTGAGAAGCCTTCCCCCCTTCTCCCACCCCCCCTCTGCGCGTGGCGGAAAAACCCGCCGCCCGGCGGTACTGCAGGTCCGTGCCGTGTCGACCCTGGCGTTGGTTCCTGACACCGCGCTGGATCGTTCAACCTTGAACGATCGGCCGTCTCCGCAACGTCCGATCGTTCAACATCGACCAATTCTGGGCCGCCGTCGGCGTTCAACCTTGAACGTCGGCGGCGGGGTCGCCGCCGGTCGACACGACGCGAACCTACCGTAGCGACCCCAACGACCAGCGGCACGACGGGCACCGACCACGGGGGGCGGCAGCGGCAGCGGTGGCGGCGATGGCGGGAACGACGACGGTGGCGGCGCCAGCGGCGGGCCCGTGCCTGCCGCCAAGCGCGGGCGGAGAGCGTAGTCGAGCGCCACGGATCCAGGAGGGGGGGGGACGGGAGCGAGGAGGAGAAGGACGAGGATGACAAGAGGAAAACCAGGAGGAGGAGGAAGAGGAAGAGGAGGAGGAGGCAGAGTAAAAGAAGACAACGTGACAACGTGCGGCAGCTTCTCTACCCAGGCCGTCTCGTGGCGCACAACGAAATGGTTGGCTTCCCTCCCTTATCCTGTCGTCCCTCCTCCTCCTCCTCCTCCTCCTCCTCCTCCTCCTCCTCCTCCTCCTCTTGCTCCTCCTCCTCCTCTCTCCTTCCTCCTCCTCCTCCTCCTCCTCCTCCTCCTCCTCATCATCATCATCATCATCATCATCATCATCATCATCATCATCATCATCATCATCATCATCATCATCATCATCATCATCGTTCTCCTCCTTTTCAGCATGTTCCTCCTCCTCCTCCCTGCCCTCCCTGCTCCCGCCCGCTCTCTCTCGCCTCCTCCGCCTCGCTGCTCCCTCTCCCCACCCTCCCTCTGCCCGCCCCTCCCTCCCTCCCTCCCTCCAAGCCTTTCCCCTGCCTCCCGCCAGCGCCGCTCCCGCCGCTCTCCTCTCGCCCTCCCTCCGCGCGGGCGCCGGAGCGCGCACGAGCGGCCTCGGCGGGCCGCTCGCTCGCGCAGCTGCCCCGCGACGGTCGGCGCGTGCCGCGGGTCGCCCGACCAGCGGCGCGAGCAGATTGTTGCTGACGGGGCCCCAGGACACGCACAAATAACAGGATGCCCCATAGCTTCCCATGTGTTCTGGGTTTTCGTCTTCCCCCCCAACTTCCCATATCTTCCCATGTGTTCCTGGGACTCGACGATTCGTTGTGTTTGTGTGTGTGTGTGTTTTGTTTCCCTCCTGAGTTACGTCAGGCTCGCGCCGTGCCGACTTCGGCGTCGGTGTCTGACACCGCGGGGATCGTTCAGCCTTGAGCGATCGGCCGTCTCCGAAGCGTCCACATCGTTCCACGGCTAACGGTTCTGGGCCACCCGCGGCGTTCGGCGTTGAACGCCGCTGGCGGGGTCGCCGCTGGCCGACACGACACGAACCTACCGTACCAGTGTGTTGGGCGAGAGAGGGGTGGACTCCTGGGAAGGTGGGAGGCTTGTCAGGGCCCACCCCGCACTCCGAGGAGCGTCCATTAATGAGCATCGTTCAACGGATCCCTATCCACACTCGCGTGGCCCGGGCCCCACTGGCGGGTTTACCCCCCCCTAGATAAGGATCTAGGCAATTTCTGTCAGATTTCGAGGGGTATATTTAGGTCGGGCCTGTCCCCCTACAGGGGCATTTTGGGCGACAAATTAAGAACACTCCGACAAATCTCCCTAAATGCTCAGGAATGGTAACCAAAAATCCTCCCCAGACTATGTTGTACCTACTCTTGAAGATTCCCCCTGTAGAGGGACAGACCCGATTTCAGGGTACATGCCCCAAACTGGGGGGATGAGATGGTGGGGGTCTGGATGGGGATGGGGGTGGGGATGGGGATGGCCCCCCCGGGCTCTTTCCCCGGGGAGTCCCCCTGCCAGGTCAGAGGCCGCCACTCCCGCCCCATCCCCCCTCCCTCCTGTGGCGGGCGCAGGCGGCGAGGAGGCCTCGCGGGTCGCAGGCGATTCCCCGCCTCGCCACCTCGCGCCCTCGCTCTCCATGTCTCTCTCTCTCTCTATCCCTCTCTCTCTCTTTCCTCCTCCTCCTCCTCCTCCACCTCCTCCTCCTCACTCTCTCTACCTCTCTCTCTCTCTCTACCTCTCTCTCTCTCTCTCTCTAGAGGCCTCCTAAATGGGGTCCGAGCAGACAGGGTCGGGGGATCGCGCCGCATCGCCACTGCATCGCCGATGCATCAGCGATGGATCGACGATGCATTGGCGAAGCATCGCCGACGTGGGCGATGCATCGGCGACGTCGACGTGAAGCAAATCGGGCTCCACATCTAGCCGCATCGCCGATGCATCGCCGATGCATCGGCGATGCGGCGCGATCCTCCGACCCCATCTACTCCGACCCCATCTAGGAGGCCCAGACTCTCTCTCTCTCTCTCTCTCTCTCCCCCCCTCTCTCTCTTTCCCTGTCTCTCTCTCTCGCTCCCCAGATGTGTGTGTGTGTGTGTATCCGCCGCCGTGCCGCTGGGCACGGAGTCGGCGTGTCCCGTGGCCGTGCCACTACCCCCTGGCATGCTGCGGTCCACGGTCCCGAGGAGTCTTCTCAAGAAGTTCAGCATCTTGGCCTAGGGCTCCCAACTTCGCGCTTCGCGCTGCGCGAAGCGCGAATAACTTCGCGCTCTCGCGCCGCCCTCCCAGAAGGAGAATAGGAGGACGAGGAGGAGGGGGAGGAGGAAGGAGGACCGCGAAGCGCGAATAACTTCGCGCCCTCGAGGGAGCCCTTGAAGTTCAGCATCTCGGCCCAGCTCTCCCGGGGCGTGGCGCGTGCCCTCCTGGCTCCCCCGAGCGTCGCCGCAGGAGTGCCTCGGGCCCAACGAGGGCCCCCGCACGGGGCGGGACGGCCCCAAGGAGCCCCCTCTTAGACGGCCCAAGCGGGCCCCGAGTCGCCGAACGATCGCTGCGAGACGCTCCAGATGGCCGCCAGGCGGCCCGAGAGGCCTCCCAGACGCCCAACGAAGCCACCAAAAGGCCTCCCAAAAGGGCCCCATGAGGCCGAAATCATTGATTGCCCCAATTGGGCATCGCTCGGACGTCCATTCCCTGTGCTTTTTTCGGTTCGTGCGTAGTTCCTCCGCCAAATGATCAAGGATGCTCCTCGATGGTCCTCGCCGAAGGAAGAATGTACACGTCCGAGCGATGCCAAGCCAAGGTTTTGTAGCATGTTGACGGTCTCGCCTTGTCGCAGTCTGGGCGCTCCCAGACGGAGCCTGTTTTTCTTTAGACTCTGGCAAGCTTACTTGCGTGGACGGGGGGGGGGCTGAGCCTGAAGCAAGCCCGGGGGGGGGGCGCGGAAATCACGCAAGTCGAAAGGCATTGCACGCTAGTATTCGCTTGAAGAGGGGCGAGGGGGGGGGGGGGGGGGGGGGGGGGGGGCGAACGCCATGCAAGTAAACTTGCCCGAATCCAAAAAAAAGGCTCACGGCCCGCCCCAGAGACGGCCCAAGAGGCCTCCGGGTGGGCCCCAGCCGGCCCCAATGGGGGGCCTCGAGACGGCCCCAGAGGCGCCCAGATCGGGCCAGCAGGGCCCGACGGTCCGCTCCGCCCGCCCCAAGAGGCCCCCAACGAGGCCTCATGAGGCGCCCAGGAGGCCCCCCAGGGGCCCACGAGAGGCCCCCTAAAAGGCCCCAAGAGGCCCTCAAGAGGCCCAAAAGAGGCCCCAACAAGCCCCAAACCGGCCCCGAGGAGGCGTCCAAACTGCCTCCAAGAGGCCCCCGAGAAGTCTCCAACGAGATCCTAAGGAACATCAAATAGGCTTCAGACCCACAACCCAGGCACGGTGTCTTCATACCCACAATCCAAGCGTTCTGTATATATATATATATATACACATTTATATATTTATATAAATGTATACACACATATGGTTGTACATATTTGTATATTATACATATATACACGTATATATATATATATATACAAGACTGCAGTGGCGCTTCGGGCCATGCACCTTGGTCCTTGAAGTTTGGTATGCAGGCGGAATGGCAGTTCAAGCCGACAATTTGGCGATATCTCGTTGTTGCCATTTCCGGCATCGTCGTTCTGATAGTTCATGGTATTCGTTTTCCTTCTTTCTTGCTTCTTTTTCCTCTTTCTCGCCATGCCCTGCGCATTCTCCCCATCCTCCTCAGCTCTTTTTGCGGAGGCTCCTCCTTGGAGAGCCTCTGGGGGCACCACAAAGAATGCCCGGTTCAGCCAAAATCGCTCAAACGTCTTAAGGAATGTAATGCGTTTGCCTTTCTCGCCTTTTCGCTGACGATCGGCGCGTGAGGCGTCAAGATGGCTCTAAGATGGCCCAAATGAGGCCCAAGACGAGCCCCAGAGAGAGCCAAGACTGGCCCAAGAATAACCAGAGAGGCGAACATCAATGAAAATCCATTGGGAACTCGATGTGTTTGGCCTTCTCGCCTTTTCGCTTCCGATCGGCTCTCTTCGAGGCTTCAAGATGGCCTCAGGATGGCCCCAGAAAGGCCCAAGGTGAAAATCCATTGGTGAATCAATGCCGCTTCCGATCAGCTCTTGAGGCTTCAAGATGACCACGAAATCTTCATCAGAACCAAAGGGGGTGCTTAGATCAAGAACGTGACTTAGAACATGAACCCCATCGAGTAAAACAAACCTGTCCAAACCAGAAATAATAACATTTCTTGCAAACACCAAACAAACATATCATAACCTTTTTTAGAGGGCCTGTAGTGGAGGCTTCGCAAATGGGGCCCGAGTCGATGGGGTCTGAGGATCGCGCCGCATCGCCGATGCATCGGTCCGAGCCGTAAGCGTGAGGACATTGGGCTCCACATCGAGCGGCGCGACCCTGGCGACCCCATCTGCTCTGGCCCTCGCTGGGAGGCCTGCAAACAGGCGTGCCAGGATACGCATAAGTCGGCATGTCCGTCTACAGGAGGTCTCAAAAACAGTCCACGAATAGTCTGGGGACGATGTTTTACCCACTGTGTCTTGAACATCTCTATGCGCACTGCTTCCTCACCTCTGCTTTCTCTCGCAAGATCCGCCTCTGTAGAAGGACAGGCCCGACCCGAGGACACGCCCGCGCCGCTGCTCCACTTTTCTTTCTCCGCCAGCACGCGCCGGCCGCCGCCCTCGAAGGGCCGCGGCGACCCGCGCGCCCCAGCGCTGCCGACGGCACCCGGGCCTCGCGGCGAAGGCCGCCGCCGGGCCCCCGGCCGCGCACACGGCGGGCCGGGCCGCCGGCGCGCTGGCCGGCGCGGGCGCGCGCGCCGCGCGCGCGCCGCCCTCGGCCAGGGCCACCTGGTCGACGGGCTCGTGCCCCGGAGGCGCCCCGAGCCTCGGGGGAGCAAGGCTAGGGGGCCACATGCTAACACATGCGAACCCTACCCCTGCCCCCCACGAGTTCTGAGGGGGAGGGTGGGGTTCACTTTGCTCGGGAGCTCCCGAACGAAGTGAACCCCACCCTCCGCCTCAGAAGTCGTGGGGGGCAGGGGTAGGGTTCGCATGCTGGAGGCGGAAGGCCTCGTGAGAGAGCCCACAGCGTCGCATAACTTTTCAGGCTGGGCGGGCCGGGCTGCGCCCTTCACTGTCGGGCGGGCGGCGGCGCCCTTCACTTCTTCGGGCCCCGCGAGACCCTGAGGGATCGATGCGGCTCGACGAAGGGCGCAAAAAGGATGGGGTTCAGGGCTCCCGGCGTGATTTATGCGATGTTGTATTTTCTGTTGCTACGTCGGATCTCATGGGAGACGCCGATGCCGCCGCTCGTCGAGAAGAGCCCTCGCCGCCGCGGCTGGCTTCTCTTCGGGGTCCTGGATCACGGCGCGCCCCGGGAGAGGTCCACCTCGAGCAGCGGGCATCGGTGGAGAGGCTTCGGGTCCGCGGCTGGCCTCAACAGGCCGCCCGAGTAGCCCAGCGGCTGGCTTCAACGCCCCCCCAGGGGCGCCGCCAGAGGCGGCGCCGGGGTGTTGAGACCGCTGCGGACTACCTGGGGGGGCAACCGAGGTCAGCTGGGACCCTCAGTGGGCCCCGGAAACGGCAGAGCTGTGTTTTTCACCGTTTCCGAAAACATGTCTTTAAAACATGGGAGCGCTACAGAACGGCGTCCAAAAACAACAAAAAAACGGCTCCAGAATTGGAACCGGAACAGGAACAGGCAAAAAACAGCGACGGACCCAAGAAAGAAACGGCGCCAGAAACGGCAAGAAAGCGGCAAACCGGAACCCAGAACAAAAACGGCCTTGTCGCTTCCAGGGCCCACTAATACGGGGACTTCTCGGGGGGCCTGTTGAGGCCAACTGGGAGTACCCAGGGGGACTGTCTGCGCGCAACCAGAAGCCCGAGGCCTCACCAACCAGAGATCCCGTGATGTCTTCGACACGGGGTCTCTGGGAATCTCGACCTCCTCTGCAGGGACCCGATCTTCATCCGGAGCCGTCTCCTGACGGTGCTGGGGCTGGCCGAGGGGCTCCAAGGAGGCCGAGCGGGGATAAAGACCGCGCGGTCGTGAGCTCCCCGAGCGAGTCGGAGCCACAGGCCTTTTCTCGGGTCGGGCGAAAGGGGGGGATAGCAAAGGGGGGGTTTGAGAATCAGCTCACGTAGCTGATTTTCCCGGCGCCTCCTGGGGAGGCGCCCATGTATCGAGGAATGGGCCCCTCGGTCGGGCCGAAACCAGCTGCATGCAGCAAATTTCGTAACCCCCCCTTTCCCAAACCCCCCCTTTCGCCCGACCCGATTTTCGTTCCCCCAGGGGGGCCAATTGTCCGGGTCGCCGAACCACGCCCAGCCGCCCGCGCAGGTCGGGCGCCGCTCGGCGAGCAGCCCCGGGTCCTCTTGACGGGCCTGCCTTCCACCACCAACACCACCAGAAGCTGGAGGGGGAGGGGGTCCTCCTCCTCCTCCTCCTCCTCCTCCTCCTCCTCCTCCTCCTCCTCGTCCTCCACCTCCTTCCCCCCTCCAACTTATGATGGTGGTGTTGGAAAAGAGGCCCATCACCTCTGGCGCTGGCGCCAGCGCCGCGAGCAGCTCCAGCTCGAGCAGCGTGGCCGCGCCCCGAGGGCTCTCCGCCCCGCCGCCCCGCAGCGCCACGAGCGCGCGCTCCCCCAGGGCCATGCTCCGGAGGACGTCGCCCAGCGCCCCAGTGGCATGGGAGGGGCGGCGAAGAGGGGGGTGGACTGGCACAGAAGGGGGGGGGGTCCATCGACCCGGCATGGGCAGTGCATCGCGCCGACAGATCGGCGAGGGGCCCCTGGATGGCGAAGCCGCGCGTTCCTGGGAGGGGTGAGCCCATGAGCGGGCCCATCTCACTGAGCAAGGGTCGCCGCCTCCCCCACCCCCTGAGCTCAGTCCCCCCTATCGCTGCCCCTGGGCATGTGGAGGAGCGAAAGACGGCATACACTGAATCTCATGATAGCAGGGAGCAGGTCACAACTCTCCCAGACGAGCATGTTCACCCCTCCTCCCAGACAGGCCAGGGAGGAGTCACCCGTTGTACGGGCCCCCCTGGAGTCCTCCAGGACAACTCAGCTCAGCCTGGGCATCAATTCAGACCAATGCACTTGTATGGTGAAATCTGGAGTCAGCACGGTTTCTCGGAGGTCCGCGCGGAGCTCTTCGATCGGCGCTACACCCCCCCCCTTCCTCGGCGCGCACCAGGGGCCGCGCCCGAGGCGCCAGGGATCTGCCCCCTCCGCGCGCCAGGGGCCGCGCCCGAGGCGCCGCAGGGGGACCCAGTGCCGATCCAAAGGATCCACCTGGACCTCCGAGAAATCATGCTCATGCCGTCTTTCGTTGCTCGAGCATGGGCGGTGCCCGGGCCCACGAGCAGGCCGTGCTGCGGCCTCGGGGCCGGGGCCAGCCGGGTGCTGCTCACGCCGCTGCCGTCCGCAGAGAACCGGTCGACGTGCACGACCGCGCTGAACGTGGGCTCCCTGGCGTGGGCGCTGCCCAGGCCGCCGCGGATGACCTCTTTGCACCACGGCGGAGCGTCGGGGCCGCGGAGCCGCCGCAGGATGCCAGCGAACTCCTCTGCCCTGGAGGGCTGCAGGCGGAACGCCCGCAGCGCCGCCGCCCCCTCCTGCTCCCCTCGCAGCAAGTCGGCCGAGCGCCGATGGCAGATCCACGGTCGCCACACAACGAGGGCAGCACTCAACGAGACGCTTGCAATCCACCAGCCGGCAGGCACCAGCAGGACCCCGCCCTGCCGCACAACCACGCTCACGTGCTGTGGAGCGTCGGTGCTCTCCCACGCGTCGACGCTGCTCTGGGAGGCATCGAACAGCGGTGCCACGTCGCTCCCCTTTCCCAGCCTACACGCCATGTCTGGGGCGAACATCCTGTACTCGCAGTCGCCCTCCAAATGCCATATCGCTGCGTGCGCTCGCTTGCCGTCGAAAGGCCGCTGCAGGCGCAAGCGCGCGCCCGGGGGCAGCACGTGGACGGCCGACAGAGCCCGGAGGCCAGCGTTCAACTCGCGCTCGACCTCGCCGGAGCCACCGAGCGCCTTCAGGGACTCCCCCGCGCCTCCGCACTCCCACGGAGCATCCGGCGGGTCCTCGGCGCCGGCCTCCTGAGGGTGCCAAGGCTGCCAGCGGGTCGCCCGCCACAGGCGCCCCGGGTCCAGCGAGCCCAGCAGCGGATGGCACGGAGGCGGCAGGCCCCTGGCGTAGTCGCACAGCTGCCACAGCGCCCCGCGCGCGCCCCTCGGCGGGAAGCGGCCGCTGCGCGGGCGATCGTCGGCACGCAGCGGCGAGCAGTCCTCCATGGGGATCCGGCGGTCGCCGTGCCTGCGCCGCAGCTCTGCCAGGGACCAGTGCGGCGGCGGGGCCACCTCCGCCAGCACGGGCTGCTCGCCGGCGCCCCCCTGCGCCCACCGCGCCATCGCCTCCTCGGCCGTGCACCGGGGCAGCGCGAGTCCCAGGGAGGCCCCGCTCGCGGCGGCTCCCAGCGCGCCCGCACACCGGGGCAGCCAGCCCCACGGGCGCGGCCCTGCACTCTGAAGTGCGCCGTGGAGAAAGAGCAGCGCCGCCTGCCACTTCGGCCCGGAGAGGCGATGCCCGGGTGGGCGCTGCGGGAGCCTGGCGCCGCGGAGGACGCCCAGGCTGATGGTTGTGCGGCAGAGGCCAAGCTTCGAGGAGAAGCCGCACAGGTGCAGGACGAACTGCGCGTGCAGGGGGTTCGCAAACTGCAGGGACGCGGCGTCCAGCACGGTGAGGTTGCTCGTCTCTCTTCGGCGGCGAGCGAGGACCGGAAGTGAGAAGGGGGGGGCCTTCTCAGAAGGCTCGGGAGTCCCTCGGCCTTCTGAAAGTCTTCGAAGCCTTCCCCGAAGACACAGAAAACTTCTCGGAAGGCGCGAGGGGCTCTGAGGAGCCCCCCTGCCTTCTGAGACCGCCTCCTCCTTCTCGCTTCCCCCCCTCGCTCGCCGCCGATCTTTGCGCACGGGGCCTCCCTTCCAGCTGAACCAGGGCGAGTGGGAGGGCCGACGGCCGGTCGGGCGCGCCCCCAGGACGTCCGGGGCAAACTCGCCGCGCGCAGCGAGGGCCTGGCACAGGCCGCTCTGGTCCCAGAACGGAGCGTGGTGGAAGCGGGGAGGGGTGCCCTCCTCGAGAAACCGGCACTGACCGCAGCAGCAACGGAAGAGCTCGGAAGGCCGCGCCGGGCTCCCGGGTCGGCGCTGGAGTCCCCCCTGGGGAGGGATCCACCAGCGCGGACCTCCGAGCGCTTGCGCTCATGGCATGTTTGTTACCCTCGGTCTCCCACGCATCTGCCCACAGCTCCCTCACCCAAGGCGAGCCCGCCTGCACCAGGAGCACGCCCGTGTTCACCCAGTCCGCCCAAGACATGTCCTCGGCCAGCACCAGGGGCTTGCCCGAGACGAACTGCGACAGCGGCACGTCGTGGTCGACCACCATGGCGTCCCCGTCGATCCACACCAGGTAGTCCACCGACGACAGCAGAGCGGCTCGACCTGCCTCCCCGAGCTTGCGCTCGAGGACCTCCCGCGCGACCGGGCTGCACCGGCGCGGCGTGAACAGCCAGGAGAGCAGAGCGAGCTTGGCCCAGGCGAAGTGGCGGCCGTCGCACACGCGCCCCATGTCCTCAAGGGGGGCAAGACACTGCACAGAGACAAACTTCGGGAGGTCCGCACTGGATCCCCCCCCCTGCCTGGCGCGCGGAGCGCGCCAGGGGCTGCGCCGGAGGCGCTGCTCGGGGCGCCCAGCGCAGATCCAAGAACATCCGCGCGGAGCTCCGAAAGTTCCTGCGCATGCTGCCTTCTCCTCCTCGGTCCTCCCTGGTCAGGCAGAGCGGCACGAAGCGGTACCCCCAGCGCTGGCAGTAGGCCTCGTTCACAGCGGCGCAGAGGTAGCCCACCTCTGAAGGGGCCCCAGGGCACAGAAATATACAGACACAGATCCCAGAACTCTCGATCTTTCTCTTTAGTTTCTGGATGTTCGTCTCACCCCCCCCCTGCCTCATCTTTTTGAGAACCGGCGATTCTCTGTGTCTGCGTGTCTTCCTCCCCCTCCTGGACCTCGTAGTCCTCGTCGAAATTCGTCAACACCGCGAAATTGTGCGAGCCGCCCGCCATGACCCTCCCCCGCGGGGGGCGCGGCGCGAGCTGCTGGCGCCCCCTGGCGGCCCGGAGGACATCGAGAGGTGCGGGACGCGTTCGTACCGGGACTGCGAAGCGCATCCGGCGGTGGCGAGGAGGGCCTCCCGGGAGGCCCACGAAGGGGCACACGAGGAGGAGGAGGAGGAGGCCCAAGTATGGAGGAGGAGGAGGAGGAGGAGGAGAAGAAATCGAGGAGGAGGAGGAGGAGGAGGAGAAGGAGGAGGAGAAGGGGAAATCGAGGAGGAGGAGGAGGAGGAGGAGGAGGAGAAGGCCCAAGTATGGGTGCCTGTCCCTCCAGCCAGCCCGCCGCAGCAGACGCCCCGGGGGCCTCGGCGAGCGCGCAAAAGCGCCGCGGGCCTCGGGATCGGCCTTGGGCCAGACATGGGAAAGGCAGGGGGGGAGGCGGCTGCCCGGGTCAGCATGGGCGACGCGTGTACTTGAAGGGGCCCAAGGACACACAGATAAAAACACACAAATAGGAGGATGCCCCCTATTTTCACATATCTTCTGAATTCTTGTCTTTCCGCTCAATTCCCATATTCTTCCATATTTTCATGGGGATCGACGATTAATTGTGTCTGTGTGTGTGTGTTTTCCCCTCCTGAGTACTATCCCCACCTTGATAAGAGCCCCCCCCGGGCCGTGGTCGAAGAGACAGTAGGGAGCCCACACACAGGACGTGCGCGCCAAACTATATACATGAACGCGGCCCATCGATCCGCGAGGCCAGCCGCATGGTACGAAAACTCGCGCAATGCGTACTCTCGAGACCAGCGTGGATTCATGTACGTGTGCGTTCTTCGCTCGCTCCTGAGAAAGGCCTGGCTGCCGGCAGCGACGCGGCCCGACTGGACCACGCACCCGGCTAATTACTCGCCAGCGTGGCAGTGCGGGCCCCGGCATCTCTTACTCGAACAGCCGGGTGGGGAGGCGGCTGAGGCGGGCGAGGATCTCTGGGAGAGGAGCCCAAGAACCCCCTCGAGTCATGAAGAGCTCAAGACAGGAATCGTGTCCCTGTTCTCGACCTCTGGGGGCCATTCCCAGGCCTCGGGAACGTCAGAAAACGACTCGGGATGAAAAAACTGGTCCCAGGGAAGTGGTCCAGACATGTGGGGGTCGGCGCTGCGAAAAAATCCGCCGACCCTGTCGGCGTGTGCGAGGGGTCTGTTCGAATCGTCGTCTCCGTCAGTCGTCGCCTGCGTCGTCCCCTTTCCGTGCACCCTCCTCAAGCCAGTCAGCGAGAGAAAAAACCTCGCAATGTAACAATCGAATCGAAGGGAAGCCCCTTCCCTTTGATCCCTCCCCCGTCGGGGGGGGGTCCCGGGGAGGGGGGGGGTCAGATACCCATCCCCCCTGGGGGTCCCAGGGCTGCAAAAAGTACCAAAAAAAAATCACGAGTGCCCCAAGAGGCCCCCGAGACTGTCCAAGAGGGCACCCAATCGCCAAATGATCGGTCCAAAACGCCTTCACGTTCCCAGCCTGTCCAGGAGACCTCCAAGACGTCCCTAGAGGCCTCCAAAGGCACTCCCGAGAGGGCCACAAGAGGCACAAATCAGTGACTGTCTTTGGGGTTTTGACAGATTTTGGCGTCCTCGCCGTGTCCGCTTCCTGCCGCTCCAAGACGGCCGACGACGCACTCAAGATCGCCCCGAGAAGGCCCAAGAGGATTCCAAGGGCGCTCCAAAACATCCCAAGAGAACCCCAAGACAGCCCAAAACGCCTCCAAGACGGCCCAAGAGGCCCCCAAGACGGCTCTAAGAGTGCGCCTTGACGGGGAACCCGAACGGACATTTCGAGTCCTCGGCCCGAGAAGCCAAGAGCCCAAAAAATTCCCAGGAGGCCCCTAGAAACCCACAAGAGGCTCCCAGGACACCCGCAATGGCCTCCAACAGGCCCCCAATAGGCTCCCAAGAGACCCAAAAATTCCTCCGCAGAGGCCCCCGAGAGCATTCCGAAGACACCCCAAGAAGCATCTCTGAGGCCTCGGGCCAAGGTCAGCCTCATCGTCGTCGCCGCCGCCACCGCCGCCGTCGTCGTCCCCCCTCGGGGTCGGCGGCACCGGCCGCAAGGTCTTCGCGCAATCACGACGTCGGGGATCCCGGAAGGGGGGGGGGTGAGAAACGTGCTTCTCTCGTACCCCTGTCTCGCCAGCGCTCGGACGTCCCCGTGCCTGTCTTGACTCCGCGCGTGATTTTCTTCGTTGGATGATCCAAGATGCCTCGACGCTCCTGCCTGCCTGCGGCCTTGCATCCCTTGTGGAGGCGTAGGCGTAGGGAAAGAAAACGCCGAAATCACACGTAATGGAACAATCCACATATTGCTAGAGCATCCGTGATGATTGCACTCACTGCCGTCCAGCAGATTAGCCAAGATGCCTCGATGCTCATGGCCGAGAAGGGGGGCGGCGGCTGGAGGAGGGGGGGAGGGGGAATGGGAGGGGGAGGAGGAGGAGGAGGAGGAGGAGGAGGAGGAGCAATCGAGGCATCTTGGCATCGAGCGAGGTCAAGCTCTTGGGCCCCTCTGATGGGCGCCAGCGAGTGGCGTACCCGATGAAGACGCTCCGGGCGCGGAGAGCGCCCGGCCGCGGCCCGTCCCCGATGACGAGCCAGGACTGACCGCCGCCCCTCCTCAAGAGGAGGCCAGGGCGAGGACAGCATCGGGTGAAGATGCATTCTGGCGCGAGCCCTTTTCCTCCTCCTCCTCCTCCTCCTCATCTCCGCCTCCTCCCCTCCTCCTCCTCCTCTCTCCTCCTCCATCTCCTCCTCCTCCTCCTCCTCCTCCTCTCCTTCTCCTCCCTCCTCCTCCTTCTCCTCCTCCTCCTCCTCCTCCATCTTCTCCTCCTCCTCCTCCTCCTCATCTCCGCCTCCTCCTCCTCCTCCTCCTCCTCCTCCTCCTCCTCCTTCTCCTGCTCCTGCCCCTCCTGGTCGTCGTCGATGTCTTTCAGGGTCGGCGGCACCGGCCGTCAGGCCTTTACAATCGGGTGAGGGTAAATTTGGGCGCGACACCCTGGGGGAGCGGTGCATTGGGGGGGAGAAAGGTGCAGTTCCCTAAAGGCACCCTCTGGGGCCCGAAAGGGCCCCTCTGGGAACCCGAAAGAGCCCCCTTTTTCTGCAGCCCACGCTGCCCCCCCCCATATATCGCCACCGCCCACTACGAGGAACAAATCTGAATGGGGGCACATCGAGAATCTCTAAGATCTGGCTTCTTTCGAGGATGCCTCGGGCGCCGCGGCCTCCACGGAGCGTTCCGGAACGCCCCGAGAGCGTTCCCGATCGCTCTGGAACTCGGGGGCGCGCAAACATGGATGACCGATCCATGGATTTGGCGCGCGGTCGCCAAATCCATGGATCGGGGGAGGCGCCCTCCCCAAAATGCGACAGGTGCCGCTGCGTCCGGAGGCGGAAATCCGCGATTTCCCATGGCAGCGGGGCCCGTTGCTAATCCACGCCCCCTTGATACATGGTTGCTACAGGGGAGGTTTTAATAGTAGGATTTTGAAAATATAGGATTTTTAATACATGAATAATGTATGAACAAATTTATGCATGAACTCGTCGGTGTTTTTGATACTGATCCCCTGCATTTTTTATACATGATCCGCACGCGGAGCATGCATTAAAAACGGCACTGTACCGCCTCATCATCCTCGTCCTAGCCCCGCCGGACTCCTCCCCATCGCCCATCCAGCAAGTGGCTCTGGTCAGTCCGCGGCCTCAAAAGCACAGGGGCCCCGACGGGAGAGAGCGAGGGCAGGGTTAGGTGGGCCTGTCCCCCTACAGGGGGATTTTGGAGGAAAAATGACAAAGACCCCAACAAATACCCAAACATATTCAAAACAAACTCAAAACAAACATTTGAATATTCCTCCTGTTGGGGGACAGGCCCGACGTAAGGGTAGGGGTTGGAGGTAGAGGTATCTAATCTATGTTTTGGTCAGGTCCACACTCTTCCTGGAAAGCAATGGCGCTTGCGAGCGGGCCCACGCTTGCAGTGCGCGCCCACTCGCACCATGCCCACATGAGCTAGGACGTGCGCGACTGGGGGAGGCAGCGGTTGCTGCAACTCGGGTGGCTGGATAATTAGGCACGAGGGGGTCATGGACTCTGGGGGTTCTCACCGGGGCCACTTGCTTCGTTCTGACATGTTCGTGGGCAGCCCCACAGCAAGGGGAGGGCCCCAACCCCTGCTCTCCAGGGCCCAGTGGCCCCTCCCAGCAGCACCGAAAACTCGGCCCTCGGACACCTCCAGGGGCGGGCCATGGCCAGGACTTCGCGGAGAGCCCTGCAGAGGCTGTGAGGACGCTGCTCCTGGAAAGGTCTCCAAGGGCTTCCCTGCTCCTCCTCCTCCTCCTCCTCCTCCTCCTCCTCCTCCTCCTCCTCCTCCTCCTCCTCCAGGAGGCTCCAAAATTGCCAGCACGTCAGCGACACTTCGGCACTCGAACGGGGCAGCGGCGGAGGGGGCTCGCTGCACACAGGAACGCCGCCTGGTTGGCAGAGGAGCTCGCTGCACAGACGCCGCAGCCTCCCGCCCCATGGGACGCTGGAGACCAGAGATCCGATGGCGCGTTGTTTTTCTCCATACGGGGTCCACGAAAACTCGACCCACTTCCCAGGCTCGGCTTACCATTCCGAATCGTTGTCTGACAGTCCCGGAGGCCGCGAGGGCCTCTGCAGGCTGAAAACGGCGAAAGAGCTTCAGCAGTCAAAATCCCACCAGACATTTTGGGCGTAGATGTTCTAGCGCGTCTCCTCTTCCACCCCTCCCTCTTCCCCTTCGGGGAGGGGTTTAACCCTCCCCCTGTCTTCTCCCCTGGACCTGGACGGGGGGTCCCGCGAGGGGTTGGAGCGTCCAAGATGGCCCAAGATGGCTCCAAGAGCGCCTCGGAGAGCCCAAGATGAGCTCCAAGATGGCTCAATATAGTTATCCCAAGATGCTTCAAGATGGCTCCCAAGATGCTTCAAGAGGCCCCAAAACTA